TATTTTCGAAGGGACGAGCAACAGAGCTATGGAGAAGAGGGTCAGTTTTATACAGGAGTGAATAAGTGAAACTGTGGATAAGTGAAACCAGGTATATATTCTGTAGATATGGGGGTTGTACTGCATTAACCACATGAATACAATTTAAACATACATTTTTAAAAACAAGTTAAAAAAGTAAACCTTAAACAACACATCAGCCTTTGACATCCCAGCACATGATGGAGTACAACCCCCATCTTCTTCTATTGTTGTGCTGATGGGGACTGTAGTCCATTTCCTCTCTCCAAGGGCAGGTTTGAGAAGGCTAGCCTGAAACAGGCCATCGAGCCAGAAGCTCAAGGGCTCCGAAAGTGACCCACATCATCGCAGGCAGCAGATCTATTTATATGGTCCCCAGAATAGAAGAGGTAGGGTGGTGGGCTAATTCTATCCGTGACACTCCTGGCAGGAGCATCTCCATCACCTCCCACCCCACTGGACCCTTCCCAAGCCTTCTCTCCACGCCTGGTCTGATCTGGTTTAGACTTTCAGATTAGGGACATCCCAAATGCATAGCAAACTGAGCCATTTGGGATGGCAGCATCTTTTGGAGGGAGCCAAGAGGGGTGCAGATGTGCCCTGCAAACTGTTACTCTCTTGCTTCCTTCCCCAAGATTGCAATGTGGCATTTCATAGGATCAGTAACTTAGATGCCCAGTGATGCCCAGATTAGGTAATTGTAATGCAATTTATTAGAAAAGGCATAAGGAGTGGATAAACGACAACTCCTATAACCAAAGTACAACTCCCCCAAACAGCACCAGTAATGATGGGCATGTGTGCCAAGTTTGGTCCAGTTGGGATCACACTTCTCTCTGGATATTGGTGAACTACAAGTCCCATAATCCTCTGTCATTCCCCCATAAATCTCACCAGTACGTAATTGATCTTGCTGGGTATGCATGCCAAGTTTGGTCCAGATCCATCATCAGTAGTGTTCACAGGGCTTTCACTTGAAGGCACACAAGAACTTTTCAAGGTAATGCTCTCATAGAATCATAGAATCCTAGAGTTGGAAGAGACCTCGTGGGCCATCCAGTCCAACCCCATTCTGCCAAGAGCAGGAATATCACGTTCAAAGCACCCCCGACAGATGGCCATCAAGCCTCTGTTTAAAAGCTTCCAAAGAAGGAGCCTCCACCACACTCCGGGGCAGAGAGTTCCACTGCTGAACGGCTCTCACAGTCAGGAAGTTCTTCCTCATGTTCAGATGAAATCTCCTCTCTTGTAGTTTGAAGCCATTGTTCCGCGTCCTAGTCTCCAGGGAAGCAGAAAACAAGCTTGCTCCCTCCTCCCTGTGGCTTCCTCTCACATATTTATACATGGCTATCATATCTCTCTCATCCTTCTCTTCTTCAGGCTAAACATGCCCAGCTCCTTAAGCCGCTCCTCATAGGGCTTGTTCTCCAGACCCTTGATCATTTTAGTCGCCCTCCTCTGGACACATTCCAGCTTGTCAATATCTCTCTTGAATTGTGGTGCCCAGAATTAGACACAATATTCCAGGTGTGGTCTAACCAAAGCAGAATAGAGGGGTAGCATTACTTCCCTAGATCTAGACACTAGGCTCCTATTGATGCAGGCCAAAATCCCATTGGCTTTTTTTTGCCGCCACGTCACATTGTTGATTCATGTTTAACTTGTCCACGAGGACTCCAAGATCTCTCACGCCAAGATTCCTCCCTGAGGACTGGAGGAAAGCGGGCAGACTTTAGAGACCTGGGAACCTTTCAGACAAGGCTTGCAGAAGGGGAATCAGACACTGTGTGAATGATGGTTGGAAAGTCTGGAGGAAGAGGAGCTCCAGATGGGCAGCCACATCCGCACACTTTCTCTATATCGGTCCCTCGCGATTCCTCCTCGCATCTCCCAGTTCTTCCTTCTATGGTAGCCGCTGGTGGCGCGGATACCCTTTGCGGACCCCTCCCGAGTTATCCTGGGTGACAGAATAAACTTGGAATGGCACCCGGCTCACATCCCTTGTGCCAATGAGGTGTAAAATACTTCTTCGCTGCTTGCTCGTTTTAGGTTGAGCATGCGACAGGTGCCGTGTGTGTGTCCGCACTTGCGTTTGTGTGTTGTGGAGGATGGATGTCCGAAGCCTCTAATCCTTGTCTGTGGAGGGGAAAGGACCGGAGAAGAGCCTTTTAAATAGCAGCACAAACTCCCTCCGTCTTTATTAGCGGTGCCGACAGGGATGTCAGAGATGATAAAACGTCACATTAGCTGGATGTGCTTAGAGGCGCAAGAGTCTGTGGGCTGGGAAGGAAGGAACTCCTGTGCAAGGCCCCACAGCTGAGCCAAGGGGGTCACAAAGAAGAGGATCCTAAAGTTGGAAGAGATCCCAAAGGCCATCCAGTCCAACCTTCTTCGGACAGGCAGGAAGAGACAATCAAAGATGAAAGGTTAGAAGGCATGATCATCAAGTTGCAGACGACACCAAATTGGGAGGGATAGCCAATACTCCAGAGGACAAGAGCAGGATTCAAAACGATCTTGACAGATTAGAGAGATGGGCCAAAACTAACAAAATGAAGTTCAACAGTGATAAATGTAAGATACTCCACTTTGGCAGAAAAACATGAAATGCAAAGATACAGAATGGGGGACAACGCCTGGCTCGAGAGCAGTACGTGTGAAAAAGATCTTGGAGTCCTCGTGGACAACAAGTTAAACATGAGCCAACAATGTGATGTGGCGGCAAAAAAAGCCAATGGGATTTTGGCCTGCATCAATAGGAGCATAGTGTTTAGATCTAGGGAAGTCATGCTCCCCATGCTCTATTCTGCCTTGGTTAGACCACATCTGGAATATTGTGTCCAATTCTGGGCACCACAATTCAAGAGAGATATTGACAAGCTGGAATGTGTCCAGAGGAGGGCGACTCAAATGATCAAGGGTCTGGAGAACAAGCCCTATGAGGAGCGGCTTAAGGAGCTGGGCATGTTTAGCCTGAAGAAGAGAAGGCTGAGGAGATATGATAGCCATGTATAAATATGTGAGAGGAAGCCACAGGGAGGAGGGAGCAAGCTTGTTTTCTGCTTCCCTGGAGACTAGGACGCGGAACAATGGCTTCAAACTACAAGAGAGGAGATTCCATCTGAACATGAGGAAGAACTTCCTGACGGTGAGAGCCGTTCAGCAGTGGAACTCTCTGCCCCGGAGTGTGGTGGAGGCTCCTTCTTTGGAAGCTTTTAAACAGAGGCTGGATGGCCATCTGTCAGGGGTGATTTGAATGCAATATTCCTGCTTCTTGGCAGGGGGTTGGACTGGATGGCCCATGAGGTCTCTTCCAACTCTAGGATTCCATGATTCTATTCTATGAAAGCACTCCTGGCAGATGGCCTCAAAGAAGGAGGCTGTACTGGACTCTCAGGAAACAGTATATTCCACTCTCAGACAGCTCTTTCCACCAGGAAGTGTTTCCTAATTTTTAGGTGGAATATCTTTTCCTTGAGTTTTCAGCCATCGCTCTATTGCAGTGTTTCTCAACCTGGGGGTCGGTACCCCTGGAGGGAGGGTCGCGATGGGATGTCCGAGGGATTGTCCAAGACCATCAGAAAACACAGTATTTTCTGTTGGTCATGGGGGTTCTGTGTGGGAAGTTTGGCGCAATTCTATCGTTGGTGGGGTTCAAAGGGCTCTTTGATTGTAGGTGAACTATAAATCCCAGAGGATCTAAATTTTCGTGATGGTTCATAGGGGGAGATGCATTCGGACAGGTAATTTGGGCCGAGGCCGTTTAGGGCTTTATAGGCCAAAGCCAGCACTTTGAATTGTGCCCTAAGTACTAAAGCTGGAGTACTGTACTCTTCCAGGGAATGTGGCGGAAGCTCCTTCTTCGAAGGTTTTTGAACAGAGGCTGGGTGGCATTCAGTCAAGGGTGCTTTGATTGTTTTTTTCCTGCACGACATAAGGAAGTTGGACTTGATGGACCATGTGGTCTCTTCCAGTTCTATGATTCTATTACCTTAAAATTGTGCTAGGGCAGCAGTGGTTTCCAACCCATGGACTGTGGCCCACTGGTAGGCTGCGAGACCTAAATTAAGGTCTGCGGCTCTAGATTATTAAATACGGTTTTCTGTGGACGAGTAGATGGAGACTACTGGATGGCATATGTTGTGTATCAGAAACTAGAGCTGATGTGGTCTATCCAATGCAGTTATCTGACTCAGTTATCTGACCCCAAATAACCAAACTGAAACTAAAGTTGACCAAAAACTGATTCATAACCCTTTTGGGGTTGGAAAGTGGTCCCTGCTCAAAGTGATCCCTGATCAGGTGGACCCTGCTCAAAAAAAGGTTGAGGACCACTGGTTTAGCTCCTTGGGAACATTATCAGTGTGCGTGAGAGAGAAGGTACTAATGTTGGAGAGTGATCCTGGCCAAAGTGGTCCCTGGTCAAGCAGTCCCTGGTCAAAATGGTCCCTGGTCAAGTGATCCCTGGTCAAAAAAAGGTTGGGAACCACTGTGCTAGAGCAGTGGTTCTCAACCTGGGGTCCCCAGATGTTTTTGGCCTTCAACTCCCAGAAATCCTAACAGCTGGTAAACTGGCTGGGATTTCTGGGAGTTGTAGGCCAAAAACATATGGGGACCCCAGGTTGGGAACCACTGTGCTAGAGGATCTTAAAAAGCCTAGAGAAGTGTTCTCTTTAGGAACACCTAAATACTCCAGCATCTGCTGGAAGTTGACCAGAGGGTTGCACAAAAGGACTTAGGGATTCCTAGATACAACGTAATGAGCAAATATGCAAAAGCCCAGACCCACAAATGTGAGGTGTCCACCGTACTTTGCAGTACACTTAGGTAAGTGTTCAAGTAATCCTTATTATACCTTCAGCCTCAAAAAGGGGTTTCTTCCTTTCTCAGTCACAATTTATGGCAGAACCTCTACGAACCTCTCACTAGGGTGGAGAGACCCTCCTATAAACCTTGTTCTGTAACTTTGTGTTCTACAGAAAGGAGGAGGGAGAAGAAGAAGATGTTGATGATGATGAAGAACTAGCCGGACCCTCCCGATCTGATCAGGAGGCCTGGCAGCCCCGATGCCACTCGCACACCAGCAAACTCTCCAAACTGCCATCCTTCATCTCCCTCCGGTCACCCCCAACTTCTCCAGAGGAGGAGGAGATCCAGAAGCCAGAGAAGGACAAGCATGCGGAGGAAACAGGTATCAATGGGGCTGGCTTTCTTTGAGGAAAGAAGGATACCTTTCCCTCCTTTGGTGGCTCTCCTTTCTCAGGAAGACACACAGAAAGAGGGTGCAGCATTTCGATATTTCAGATGTTCTTGATATTTATCACTGGATCGCACTCCTTGGGCAGAAGGTGGAATGAAAGTCATGCCCAGGAAGCAATTAGTTGAAAATTTGAGAGTAAAAGGAATGTGTGGGGAGAATACAGCCAGCCCTCCACACTTGTGGGTTTAACTTTTACCGGTTTGATTATAATACGGATTCCTCGTGGAATCTCTGGGTCCTCCAGCACAATTCTGTGGTCAGTGTTCAGCAGAAAGGAGGACCTAGAGCAGTGGTTCTCAACCTGTGGGTCCCCAGGCGTTTTGGCCCAACTCCTAGAAATCCCAGCCAGTTTACCAGCTGTTAGAATTTCTGGGAGTTGAAGGCCAAAACATCTGGGGACCCACAGGTTGAGAACCACTGACCTAGAGGTTCCTGGAAAGGTGTTCTCTCTTGTTTACCAAAGAGTGTTTATTGGCATTTTCCCCACTTTCGCAAAGGACCCAGGACTTCTAACCCCAGCAAATGGAGAGGACTGACTTTCATGTGCAGTAGATTATTCTTCTAATACTAGGATAAAATGGGAGAGGAACAAGATCCTCATCATCATCCCCATGCATGGGACGAGGGAATGGTACTCCATAACAGAAGGATGATTGTTCCTTTTAAGGGTGCATTCAGTGCTGTGGAATCCTAGGATTTGTAGTTTTGCAAAGTGTTTAGCCTTCTCTGCTAAAGAGTGCTGGTACTTCACTAAACTACAGTTCCCAGTGTCCCACAGCATTGAGTCACTCCAGTTAAAGTGGTGTCAAATTGCATTCATTCCACAATATAGATGCATCCATAGATGGTTTGATGCTTGACCCAAATCCAAGTCTCATTCCAAAGTCTGTTGATGAAAGATATACAGATAGGTTGAAATCCTTAAAATATAATTTTTCTTGTATTTTCAATTGCTTTGTGTAAACAGAACATCACTACTTGGAAAATAAAATACAGAACTCCCTGTTGACCCAGGTAAAAAGTGTTCAGGCTTGCAAACTGACTACAGTTCAATCCTATTGAGGCCTGACTTGAATAGAGCTAGTGAATCAAGGGAATTTACCCATATATAGTTCTGCGGTTCATAGAATCATAGAATCAAAGAGACCTCATGGGCCATCCAGTCCAACCCCCTGCCAAGAAGCAGGAATACTGCATTTAAATCATAGTCTCATCCAGCTTAGACTAATCAACATAATCAATAGGACTCCATAACAAACCTATCTCTGACAGGTGGACATCCAAGCTCTTCTGAAATCTCTTGAAGGAGAATTTGGTCACTTTTGGGGGAAGTGCTTTCCACTATCACAAAGCTCTTACATGGGATGGCAACCCTTTCCAGCGTTGTTGTTCAGGGCTGTCAAATTGGGTTCAGCTTCGAGAAATCCTATAAATTAGAATTGTCCAAAGAGCCCTGTTATTAGTAGCCCTGCTCAGGTCTTGCAAATTCAGGACCACAGTTTCCTTGATGGAATCTATCCATCTGTAAAGTAGCCTTTCTTGTTTCCTGATGCTTTCTACTTGGTTGTTTTGGTGTGCTTTCAAGTAATTTCTAATTTGTGGTAACCCTAAGGTGGAGCCTTTTCTGGGGTTTTCTGGGGCTGAGAGCATGTGACTTGCCTGGGATCACCCTATGGGTTTCCATGGCTGAGCAGAGTCGTCGTCTTCACTAATCTTGACTGACCAGATAGATCTTCTTCTTCGTCCATCATAAGCATCTTGAGAATGACTGAAATCCTGTTGCTGTGTGCCTTCAGGTCATTTCTGACTTCTAGTGGCCCTATGACTGACCTGTCATGGAGTTTTCGTGGGCTGAGAGAGTGTAACTCACCCAAGATCACTCACTAAGCGGGGAATCAAATCCTGGTCTCCAGAGTCATCGTCTAACACTCAAACCACCTCAATGCGCTGGCTCACTTTAGTAAGCGTCACTGTCTTTTCCAGGAGACGTATTATGTCAGTCTGTGCCCAAAGTGCTATAGCCTCAGTTGACTCATTTTGAGTTCTAGGGAGAAGCCAGATTATGTTGGCTCTCAAATCTTTTAATTTGCCTTTTTGGTAGTTCTAGGGAAGTAATGCTACCCATTCTCTATTCCGCTTTGGTTAGACCACACCTGGAATATTGTGTCCAATTCTGGGCACCACAGTTCGAGAGAGATATTGACAAGCTGGAATGTGTCCAGAGGAGGGCGACTCAAAAGATCAAGGGTCTGGAGAACAAGCCCTATGAGGAGCGGCTTAAGGAGCTGGGCATGTTTAGCCTGAAGAAGAGAAGGCTGAGAGGAGATATGATAGCCATGTATAAATATGTGAGAGGAAGCCCAGGGAGGAGGGAGCAAGCTTGTTTTCTGCTTCCCTGGAGACTAGGACGCAATGGAACAATGGCTGCAAACTACAAGAGAGGAGATTCCATCTGAACATGAGGAAGAACTTCCTGACTGTGAGAGCCGTTCAGCAGTGGAACTCTCTGCCCCGGAGTGTGGTGGAGGCTCCTTCTTTGGAAGCTTTTAAATAGAGGCTGGATGGCCATCTGTCAGGGGTGATTTGAATGCAATATTCCTGCTTCTTGACGGGGTTGGACTGGATGGCCCATGAGGTCTCTTCCAACTCTTTGATTCTATGATTCTAGTCAATGCAGACATGTAGAGGGGGTGAGAATTTCGGGGGGGGGGGCTGAAGCCCCCCACCCCCCCCCCGAAATTCTCATGATGGTCTGTGAAAAGGCCTTACTGGTACATTATTTAAACTGTTATGTTTATTCATATCATGATCTGATCACCATTCTCAATATATCTCATATGCATGGGGGTATTGGGGTAACGATACAAAAGGTTTGCTAGGTAGACCCTCTTTCACTCAGACTCAGCCCCCCCCCCCCCCCCCCCCGAATCAAACTCAGCTCCCCCCGAAACAAAATCCTGGATACGGGCCTGAGTCAATGGTATCCAAAAGCAAGGGAAGGTTCTCTTAGCCTTCCCTTGCTAAGAGATCAGGGTCAGAGTGGCCATTTAGGAAGTTTACTTTTGTGTTCTAGTTTCTGGAGCAGGAGAAAAAGAAGTTTGCACTTCCTCAATGTGACATCCTTTCAAATATGTAAACATAGGTCTTGTGTTCCCCTCTTGGCCTTCTCTTCTCCAGGCTGAGTATACCGAGCTCCCCAAGCTGCTCCTCAGAGGGATTGATAGTTTTCAGACTTGACTACCTCACTACCTCTGAGGATGCTTGCCATAGATGCAGGCAAAACGTCAGGAGAGAATGCCTCTAGAATGTGGCCATAGAGCCCGAAAAAACCTACAACAACTCGTTTTCAGACTTTGAGTTTTTTGGTTGCCCTTGCCTGGACCATTTGTGGTCTACTAAGCTTCCGGGATTCCTTTTGCATGATCGTCCTGTCTCTCTCCTTCATTCGTCTTTGCTTTCTTTCTCAGAGAAGGTTTACCTTCATGCATTCTTCCTGGGTAAGCACTGGAGCCCCACCTGAGTTGGCAATCCTCCGCAGGTGACGGAGGGAGACACCTTTCCATATTTCACCTCTGCATTAAGCCTCTTGCGCTGGAGCAAAGGCTCCTCTTCCCTTCCGGAGCGTGCAGGCGGCCGTGGTCCAACACGGGGCCCTTCCAAGAGAGTGCTAATTTAATTAGAAAGCACCCATTTTAGTTAATTTGTTCGAGAAGATCACTGCGGGCTCCTGGAGAGAACAGATGTTTCTCTCTCCCCCGATGAACGTTCTGGGGTTTGTAAATGGCTCCACTCAGCCTTGTTTAGGAGAGAAAAGAGGATTTTATGGCGGCAAACGACCCTTTCTGTAAACATTTTACAGCTCTCTGCACGTTTGAGTGAGGATAAACCCCTGGCAACTCGGCGGGCTGCAAATTTGCGACCATACGGGCATCATTTTATTGTCATATTTCACGGTCGTAACGTTAATGGAAGATGCTCGCTCCAGTCTTTTTTAACGGCTCCGCTGAGCACGCTCAAAACACTTTCACTTCGGAGGAATCTGCGGAAGGTACGGCCCCGTCGGTTTGGGTTTAGCTATCCTGTTTCTGCAGGAACAACTTGGAGAGCATCCCTCTTTCTCCCTCCAAGTTTTGCACCATCCGCACCCAAGTCTTGAATGCTTTCCTCGCCCGACTGGGAATCCCCTCTCCAGTATGGTCCTTGGGTGGGCAACAACTGGCCCTTCCAGCTTGGGTTGGGTTGCCCGCTGTGAAGTCCCTCTGCTGATCTGGAAAACATATCGAGAGCAGCTGGGCTGAGAACCAGGGATGTAAATCTTTGCCTATTTTGTCCTGGCATAGAAGGACGAATCATTTCCAACGTCTTTTCTTCCCAGCTGCGGAAGAAAACGCACATTTCTGCACAGTGCATTTCCTGTCATCTCCAAGTTTTGCAATGAATTATTAGAAATGCATCTTTTTCTGCAGGGAAAAAACCCCACTGTTTCCCTCAGAATACTTTTCTTTTTGACATTAAAACCACTATTTTCCTGCCCAGAAAAAACATTTCTTCTATGCAAAAAAAGAGAAAAGAAACCACATACCTTTTCACACGTAAACCATATAGAATCCTAGAGTTGGAAGAGACTTCGTGGGCCATCCAGTCCAACCCCATTCCGCCAAGAAGCAGAAAAATCGCGTTCAAAGCACCCCCGACAGATGGCCATCCAGCCTCTGTATTGTCGAAGGCTTTCATGGCTGGAATCACTGGGTTGTTGTAGGTTTTTTCGGGCTATATTACCATGTTGAAGTAAAGACATCTACCCTTGCCCTATGCTACTCTGCTGCTGAGTATGCATGCCCAGTGTGGAACACATCTCACCACACTAAAACAGTGGATGTGGCTCTTAATGAGACATGCCGCATTATCACAGGGTGTCTGCGCCCTACACC